ACCCCTAACACTAAGGGCACCCTTTTTCCTACTCTTAGGCTTGAATAAGGGACCCCAAAAACAAAAAGGGCAAAAGGGTACTACTGGGGAACCTAGTAAAGGTTCTAGAAGAAGTCAGCTGGCCTTTTCTGGGGGAGGCCCCTCGCAGGTCTGCGTTTTCAAGAACCAAGTGGCATACCGCCTGCCAAAACAGAAACCGGGTTTAGGGTTCAGGGCACCAGGGTTTTATAGGGTTTAGGGTCTAGGGTTGAGGACTTGGCGTTTTGGGGTTCGAGCTACCCACTGGGGATAATGACTGTTCAATGCGGGTCCTTCCAGGGTGTTGCAAAAATCTAGTCAAGCGGGGTTTGCAAAGTCTACGAGAGTTCTGTACGTCGCATACCTCAAAAAAGTGGGGTGAAGCTGGGTCTGGGTAGGACTAATGATCCTGTGTAAGGACCCGTGTCTGGGATTACATGCCATGGAGCCCTTTGACTCTAAGGCGAGAGAGGGGGGCTGTTGGAAGGTATTCCAGAGCTTTCCGGCCGGGCATCTTACGAGGCTCAGGGCGTAGGCTCGGAATTGAAGGTTTAGGGTAAGGGGAGGAAAGCCCTAAACCCTAAACCCTAAACCCTAAAACCTGACCAAGTCCGAAGATCGTACTCATATATGTGGTGGTTTTGTTTAAAATTTCTTCAACAGACCGGGCCTGCCAGAACACCCCTCTTTGCCAGCAGATCCTTCCCAAGGAAGCTAGGCATTCTGACCTTAAGCCGTAAACCCACAACCCTAAACCCCTAAACATTGTTGCCTCGGATGGCAATTTTGAGGACAGGTGTATTCAACGACTAAGACCCCTAGACCCTAGACCTTAAGACTCTATAATCTACACCCTAAACCCCAAACCCTAAGACCCTATAGCCTAACCCTAAACCCCAAACCTTAAGACCCTATCCTATACCCTAAACTCTTAACTCTTAATCTAAACCCTAAACCTCAGGAGCCCGCCTAATCGATCCTTCCCGGACATGACGCCGGATAGCTTCGAAGAAGTTCCGGTACCTAGGTGGGCTCGCTGGGGTTTAGGGTTTAGGTTCTTGCAGCTAATGGAAAGAATAATAGTAATAGAAACAAACATAATCATAGGAATAGCTGGGCTCTTGCAAGTCATGGTACAAGTAGTAGTAATAGAGACACTCACAGTAATGGTAATAAGGCTAACAGTGGTACTGGTCGTAGTGATAGAAATTGTAAAAGTTTTAGTATGGTAATAGCAATAGCAATAGCAATCGAAATCGTAATCGCGCGCGCAATCGCAATCGCAGTCGTAGTAAGAACCATAACCCCAGAAACAATATGCCAATATGCGTAATGATAGCCATGGTTGTAACAGAAACAGTAATCTCAGTGGTGCTGTGCTTGTGTTTGGTTCCCTCATATTCGCACAAACTCTAAGCCCTAAACCCCCAGGCCTGCAAAACCTTGGACCCCAAAACATGTACCTAAAACCGTAAACTCAAAACCAACCCCTCAACCCTGATAAACCCTAGCCACTAGCCTGCAAGAAGTCTTTGGGGCCTGCATCGAGACTTACCACGGTTTTGGATGTAGCCGTCAATCCCTAAACTACTGCTGATGATTAAAATCCTGCATTACCCTGAGGGCCCTAAAATATGGGAATTATGGTATATTCCTTGATATGGGTATTGCAGGATTTATATCATCAATCGTACGAGGACTTGTCCTTCCATCAGTTGAAAGAAGACGTCCGCAAAGAATTCTCATCTGAGCGCTTTTTTCCAATGAAAACCCCGAGACCCCAAACCCACCATAGGAAACAAAACAGTTTAGACAATGCCTGCAGA